CTACCATCTTCTCTTCTTAGTATTCAGGAAACTCACTGCTTGCTATATTCTTGGAAACCAGTGTCCATGGGCTCTTTGTCAGAAAGTCACTGTACCACAGCTTTAAGTTAACATAGAATTATAATTTCTGGAGGTTCCTTTCACCGTTGTTTATTTGAGAGATATGTAAACACGCCTTAAGTCTTCAAAGGTTGCTTTAGGTGTGCCAGGGGAACGGTGCTGGGCAGCACCTCCGAGAACTGGATTTCATCAGCCAATCAAGTCAGGGGTTATGAACTCAAAGCCAATGAGTGTGGACCAGGGGGCGGGGCTGGCAGCAAAGCCCTGCCCGCGAGGTTGTGCAGTTGGTGGTGACTGTTTGGAGGGAACAGCTAACCTCAGCTTCTCACTCACACACCTCCTGAGGCTTTGGATGGTGAGCCCTTCCTTCCCCTGGGGTACTTGCTTCTTCAGCCTCCCTTACGAGAGGAACAAATGTATTCCCACTCCAGATTCAGCCAGCCACTACCTCTTGCAGTTTGCACCTTTCTTTTGGCAGAGAATCAGGGACTTACTCAAAGATCAGCAGGCCTCTCAGTTGGACTGTGTCCCTTCCCCCCTGCCCCTCCTCCAGTAACTTCACCTGGCGCGCCTTGTTCCCTTGCCTTAACGAGGTACCGAGAGGAGAGCACACTGACGCTGTGGTGAACGTCCCCAGGTGCCTGGAGCTGAGCAGGAGCAGAGAGGTAGCGAGGCCGCGTTGGAGGGCAGCAGACCACCACACTCAGAGTCTGTGAGTAAGACGCTGCCCCGCTGTGTGGCAGGAGAGCTGACTGAGGACATCTGCCAATCCCAGTTAAGTTATCTGCCACAAACCATTCAGCAGGAGCTCGGCAGTTTGTGAAGGTGACTGGGACCCCACCGCGTTCTCTTTAGGATGCTTGTGTCGCCTGAATCACGCAAAACGTACTGATGAAGAGGAAGAAAGACTTCCCATTTTGAGGGACTGGGTGAATTAGTATGACTTCCACTCCACGAGAAAGAGAATTCCACATGCCATTTCTGAGAGGGCAGTCATTCATTAACTCTACACACAAAGGGAATTTAGCCGTTATCTAATTTATCGATAAATTAATGTAGAAAACCTATGTGGTAATTTCTAGACAAATCAGTTTGTTTTTGTTTTTTAATGAGACAGACTCCTAAACGTATCCAAAGTTGTCAGAAGTCAGTTTAAGCTGAAGAAGAGTTTTAATTACATGGAAAATCTGTTTATTCTCACTGCTGGTTCTTCACCCATATCTTTTAAATTATTAACCGAGAGTAATAGTAGCATTTACCTGGTAACTTATTAAATTTCAAGGGAAAGAGTTCAGTAATTTTATTCTTTTCTGAAAGTGATTTATTAGGACTGACTGTATAAAGTCATATTAAAGTTTTCAAATAAACAAGTTTAGAAACTAGAAAGGTGCTTATGGGGATATGAACCCCCACTTTCAGTTTGGAAAACAATAAACTACTTAGTTGTATTAAATTCTGGAAACATATAGGAATGTATAATTATGATGCAGAAAATAGCTTTTTTTTTTTGGTCAAGCCCAGGATGTTTAGTCCTGGAGTAATAAATGTCCTGTTTGTTTTTAGCTAAACAAACAGAAGCAAATATCACCACTCTATCCTCATGTGCTTCTCCTAGAGCAGTGCTTCTAAATAATGGCTGCTCCTTCGAATCACTGGGAAGCTTTTAAAATTTCCAATGCTCAGCTCCAGCCAGGGGTGACACCAGGCAACTGGATAGATAGATAGATAGATGGATAGATAGATAGATAGATAGATTTTTAGAGAGAGGGAAACATCTACCAGCTGCCTCCTGCACACCCTCTACTGGGGATTGAGCCCACAACCCTGGCATGTGCCCTGACCAGGTATGGAACCAGCAACCTTTCTGTGTACAGGAAAGTAACCAACTAACTGAGCCACACTGGCCAGTGCAAACTCTCTTAAGTAATTCTAATGTGTAGCTAAGATTAAGAGTCTCTCTTAGAGAGATAGCTGAGCTTGTTCTGCTCTGTTACTTATATTATTATCAGGATCTCCTGGTCTAGCACCAGCTCTTGACATGCTACAGTGAGGTTAAGAAACTTAGAATTCCTGCCCTGGCAGGTTTGGATTAGCAGTTGGAGCATCAGCCTGTGGTCCAGAGAGACCCAGGTTCGGTTCCCGGTAAGGGTGCGTACCTCTGTTGCAGTTTGTCCCCGGTCCTGATTGGGTTGTGCGGGTGGCAACCACTCGATGTGTCCCTTTCATGTCAATGTTTTTCTCTCTCTCTCTCTCCCTCCCACTCTATCCGAACAAAAAATGGAAAGATGTCCTCAGGTGAGGATAAAAAAAAAAGAAACTTAGAATTCTTTTGAGGTAAAACACAAATCAAACAAAACACAAAAGCAGCCCCTGACATCAGGGAACCAGTAAGTGTAACACTCAGAGCTAGGTCTCATAGTTACTACAAGTCAGTCTAACACTTACAGCTAGTCTGTTACCCTCCTATTGGATATAAACAATCTCACAGAGTATCAACATCCAATGAAGTCATTCTGAGATCATAACAAAGTGAGACAAAAGGACATCACTTTGCAACCCATACAATATCAAACATCCCTTCTATCTGCTAAAATGAGTGACTGCTGCATCACAACTCGTTCTAGTCAGCCCTCTCTATAGATACGATTTATTGAGATACCCAGTCACATAACTGTCCTTATGTTCTGACAGAACCCAATCTATAGTAACCCCCCACTTCCTTAGACCCTCTTCAAAATTACTCAGCCACAGCCCATACCCAAGTAAGTTCTTTTCAACATCCTTTTACTGAAACCCACCTACAGTTCCCCAGGATGAATGTTCTCCCTCACAGAGACAAAAAAAAAAAATGAGCCAAACTTGTCAACTACAGATGTGTTTCCAGTCTTCTTTGACTAAAAGGCATGATACCTTTTCTCATGAAAACTGACTTGAGAATATTGAAAAAATGCTGGCATTGAGACTAAAGAGTGAGTGGTGTTGCCTTTGTATTGGGTGAGTCACAGTCCTTCCTAACCTTGGCTATCCATTAAAGCCCAGGTTGCAATTCAGACTGACTTCAATAGGAATCCCTGGAGATAAGACCCAGGCACCACTGTGATTATAGCTCCCCAGGCAATTCCAGATAAAAATAATAACACAGGGAGAGAGATTACACAGACTAAAAACTATACAAGTTGGAAAACTTAGGCCAACAGCGTTGAAGTAAGTTGCTTAGTCTTTCACCCTGCAAGCAGCAAGCAGCCCATCAGGTGTTTGCATGCAGGCAGTCTGACCACAGTTGGCAATTTTATATTGGTGCTAATATGCTCCAACCTTTGTTAATGGTGTTTACAAGCCTCTTTGATGCTGCTGATAAAATACCAAATACAAAAGAGCATAAAGTATAATTACATAAAGATGAACCCAACTATGTAGATAAAACATGTAAGAGTCACCAGACGACATAACTGTGGATGATTTCCTGTTTTTTGAGATGTTTCTTTACATATTTATGTCAAAAGTGTTCACAATAAGCACATAGTCATTTAATTTTGTCTTTCAAAATACTGTTTTTGTAATCAGAAAAGAGCGTATAAGAAAACATATTTATGAGAAGTTTAGTAAACCTAATTGATTACTTAGCAAGGCAGCCATATCAGATGCTAATAGCAAATACTAGAAAATGTTAAGCCACTCTTGTGAGAGATAGAATCGGAAGAATTTAATTCAGGAAGTTTGAGATCCCCGCCCCCGCCCCCGCCCCCCGCCCCATGCAAAACTTTCCTTACCATGGAAGCAAGTGGAAAGGGCAGAGTGCTGCTGCTATCTAGTCCTTCAATCCAAGACATATCATGGCCCTTGCTGTTCCTCTTCCAAGAAGTAACAATGAGATGAATATGTAACAATTCATATTTTAAATCCTTTTAAATTCCTGTTTTAAATCCTTTTTGTTTCAATATTTTTCTTATGTTTTTGCTTGCTATATGAATAAATAAAAGTCCATTAGTTTTCCAAAAGGGGGAAAAAAAAGAGAAGGGTATGATTGAAGATCATCATAATCTATTAATTTCTGTCTGACTAGAACAACAAAAGAGACCAGAAATTCTTCCCCAGTCCTGTTACCCACTTTGGCATAGCTGCCATGCTGAGGACAAACCCCTCAGTTTTTTATCCCCAGAGCTGTGACCTGCACCTGACTGTGATTCCAGGTACAAGTGTTGTAATGTGTCAGCGAGATAACCAGAGACGCACAGCCGAATTGTAAAGGACCACTTTATTCGCCGGTGGTCTGGAGGGGGGTTTTCCCAAACCCCAGCCCTGAGCCTTCTTTGTTCCTTGTTTATATAAACACAAACTACAGAGGAAAAAAAAAAACTACATTCTTGGTGCCACCGTTATGGAGGGGATCTGATAGAAGGGGGATGAGTGGAGCTGTTAGAGGTCAGGGAAACCATTAATCTCTTTCTCTCCATGGTTCCTCTAAGTTTCCCAAGGCCATCCTTAACCCCCTTATCTTTATAGTTTTCTCTGGGTTTTTCAAGCCCCTCATGTTTAAAAAAACCACCAGGGTGTGTACGTGCAGTAACTGAAGGTCAGAATAGAGTTACTTCACAAGTTAGGTGAAAAATCTTTTCAGACAGTTGGATAGACGCTGGATGAGTAATGCTGAGTGAACACAGGGTGACACTGGCTAGTCTCTATCACTTGGGGTTGTGCCTTTTTTGTCTCATTTAAACTGAAAACATTACAGGAAGGGGAGGCATTCCTCATTTTGGCAGACTGTAAGATATCACTAGAAATAATTAAGGAGAAATAAGGGCACTTTTTTCTTTTTCTTTTTTTAAAGGAACGCATTAGAAGGCTACCAAGAAGGTAAATCTTACTTTCCGTTGATCCTACGTGAGTTTTGCAGAGTATTGTTAAGAGTCGGACTCAGATGGTCTGTGAGAAACAACAGGATGGAGCTGCATTCCAGTATTTATAATTACACATTTCTTAGCAAAGGATTTACTGACACTTGGGTGGACTTTATGAGGAATAAGTTCAGTAATAATCCTGAGGAACTCCCTGAAATCATTCTAACAGTGTCCTTGATCTGCGCAGTTGGAGGTACGTATAACTCTTTATTTTAGTTTATTTTGTGGATATATCATATAAATGCCACTATACAGAATTTTTTAAAGTAGCAGTAATAGGAACTTAGAATTTTGCTCCTAGATTCATACCTTTGTTCCAGTATTTTCAATTAAATGAATCCAACAATAACCTGCCCCTGAGAAGAAACATGTAAGATCTAATTCATGTTCTTTGCCTCTGTTGGGTTCAAAATATTCACACTTTCTTACTTGTTAGGTTCAGAATAGATTTAAGTGATGGGGAAGAATTGAAACAGATAAGCAGAAAATCAAGGGTTAGAAGACTTTTTAAACCTGTTATTATAAACTATAGTTTCATTCATATTTTAAGGTTAGCTGTTCCACCGATTTCATTACTTAGATAAAGAGTTTTCAAAGTGATAGGTCTTCTGAACGGTTCGGTTACTTTTTAACCACTTGGTATGTTGTCCCGTTGTTTTTGTCCAAATGATAAATTGTTCTTAGCTCTTATGAAAAGAAAAGAATACTGTAAAAAACAAAAGAATGCACTTATTTTTTTCATTCTTTGACCTAAGAATTGTATTAAAAACAAAGAGGTTAATAAAGAACTTATTACAGGATTGCTAAAGAAACTACCTGACTTATAACATGTGCAAAAACTGCTATAAATATTTCAGTAGTAATCCAATTATATCTAGCAATTTTTACTAATGATTCTAAAGAAATGAGATACTTCATAGAACAGGTCAAGCAGAAATCTAGTAGATTAATAATTACACTGATTCTGTGTGCTTAAGTGTGAAGGAGGGTTTCAAATATAGGAATATAGAAAGTAAGTAGTGGAAAAGTATTTGATTATCCTCAGTATTAAGAAATCATATGAAATTAAAGTTCTTAAACTGTAATATTTTATTGCTTTTAAATAAAGACTTTTTTGCAGCATTTTTGAACCTACACTTGAAAGACTTTCCAATTCCTCTCCCTGTGATATTATTTATAATTGGATGCAGTTTAGAAATATTAAGTTTTACATCTGACCAGGTGTGTATAGTAAATATGAGTACTTTGTACTATAGCTAAGATTCATATAAATACAAAGATGGCTTAAGAGAATTTGTAAAAATACTTGTCTCTTCACTATTCTACCATTTGATAGATACTTAGGATGTGGATAACATCATATGTATAGAAAAAGGAACCAGGTGTGCAAGAGCAAAGCTGGAAGCTGAGAGAGACTTAGAGTGCTGGTACAGGACTCCAGTAGTAAGAGAATTCTAACATTAAACCGATCTATTGCCTCAGTTAGGAATGTTTCATAGGATTTCCATTAGAATAGAGGCTAGTCTCTAGGTGTGCCTGGCTTAAAATATATCAAGAAATAGCCCAGCTGGAGTGGCTCAGTGGCCGAGCATCAACCCATGCACCAAGAGGTCGCTGGTTCAATTCCCGGTCAGGGCACATGTCCAGGTTGTGGGCCCAATCCCCAGTGGGAGGGGTGTAGGAAGAGGCCCAGTTGATGTCCTTTCTCATCCATGTCTCTGTCTATCTCCCTCTCCCTTCCTCTCTCTCTAAAGTCAATACAGAAAAATTATTAAAATTCATCTTTGTTGAAAGTATTACAGATGTCACCCCTTTCCCCCATTGACCTGCTCCCCCGCCACTCTACACATCCCTGCTCCTCGATTTTCACAACCCTATTGTTTGGGTCCATGGGTTATGCATATATGTATATAAGTTCTTTGAATGATCTCTTCCCACTCCCCTCTTCCCTCTGAGATTCCTCAGTCTGTTCCATGCTTCCATGTCTCTGGATCTATTTTGTTCATTAGATTCCACATATAAGTGAGATCATGTGATACTTGTCATTCTCTGACTGGTTTATTTCACTTAGCATAATACTCTCTAGGTCCCTCCATTCTATCTCAAAGGGTAAGAGATCCTTTTTTATAGCTGCATACTATTCTATTGTGTAAATGTATCAGCGCTTTTTAATCCATTCATCTACTGTTGGGTACTTGGGCTGTTTCTAGATTTTAGTTATTCCTTGCCTTCTTCACCTTCATTGCCATCTTCTCTAGGCTATCTTTAGCAAGGAGGGCCTTTGCAAAATCATGGTCTATAGCCCTAGTACATTTTATGCCTCACTGGTCTACCTCGTCTCCTGCATCCTGGTCGTCAGCACCCTCCATCACTTCTCCTTGCACAGGAGGGTTGGAATACTGTGTTCAAAGCCCACAGGGTCTCTGCATGTAGTAAGGTGGGAACTGTCACTTGCAATAGGGCTGGCCCTGTTGAGCCTGGCCTTCAGGAGCACTCTCCAATTCTTCCTTCTTTCCCCCACTCTCACTATTCTGGTAGTTCTGCTGGTAATTATGTGGAGGAGCCCTGTGATGTGGATAACATCTATAATGGTTATGGTCTGCTGCATATTTACTGCCTTGCACTGAAACCTCACCAGGGCCTGTAACATTTGCTGCTGCTGCACGGTTTTCCCCTTCAACAACATCAAACTCCACAGTCTCTCCATTTCCCATACTGTGAAGGTACCTCCTGGGGTTATTCTTCTTTATGGCAGTCTGGTGTACAAATACATCTTCCTTGGTGTCACTCCTATTGATGAAATCATATCTGGTTTTTACACTGAACCATTTCACTGTTCCCAAACCATCCTTGCAATGACCTTCTTGTCCCTGCCCACAGGTACCACCAATGTGAGGCTGCCCAGGCCGGGATCCCTGCCCCACTGCCCTGTGGTGCCAGGCTTGATGTCAGCAGTGCTAGGGGCGGGGCAATGAGTTGCTGCTGAGTCTTGGTCCCTCTTGGTTTTGGTGATGATGACTTGGCTCCTCTTGGGGTGTGATGGTAACTAGGCCAGTGGGGTTGCTCTGGGCTCTCTCTGCTCCTGCTACTGATCTAACAGGAAAAGAAACCTGAGTTTAGAGAACTTGGAATATTTTATGATGTGCAGTTAACTCATGTGCCCTCTTGCCCACAGGGAGATATTATCTTTACTACATTGGACAATATAGTAAATCTGCCCCTTGCTCTCTAAAGAAACACTTGTTCTATCTTCCAAACTTGTTAGTCATTCAAATATTCTTGAAAAGATAGTCTGGGAGAAAAGCAATCAGTGCCTCCACTCATAAGACATGGAGAAACACAAGAGATCATGGAGAAGCAACTCCCAAATGCATAGATCTCACCTAACTCAGTAGATACTTAGTATTTCCTTACTTGATAGATGTTGAATAGATGCCCATAAGAAAATGTATAAATATCAACTCAATAGTTTGTGGTAAACACCGTTATTTAGTTATTTTATGAAATGCATTAACTTCCCACGCACCGCTATTCTCCCACACACCCCTTCTATTTAAGCCATGGCTAATTATGTGTAGTTTCTAGAATTTGATATGATTTACTCTTTTGTAGATTGTGTGTGTGTGTGTGTGTGTGTGTGTGTGTGTGATAATCCATCCATCTGAAATATCTTTCTTCCTCTTAAATGCCTGAAAATCTCCTAGGTATTCTCTAGTGCCCATGTAAATGTACATCCTATTTATAATATACTTTCTTTAAAAAATAAAGTGGACATATATACGTGCATTAATTTTCCACTGTAGTTGGTAATAATCTGATGGAAGATTATAAAGATCTGAGAGAGTTAAGACTTTAGCACTTATTGCATGATGATGTATGTTTTCCTCTTTTGCTAGAGATAGGAGTATCTGGCATGTATTCTATGTTAATAGAATAGATAAATGAGAAAATAACATATTTTTATATTATTAGGTCCTAAAATATGCAGACTCCATACAATGGATGAGTCCACATTTTTTTTTTGATTTGTTTACACCAGTAATTATCTTTAATGTTGCGTTTGACATGGATGTTTACATGCTCCACAAGTTATTTTGGCAGGTAAAAAGTATTCTTTTTCAGTAATATCATTCGTTCGCAAGCTACTACGTTTTATCTATGTTCAGGTTTCTAAAAAAATTTTGCTCCAAATTAGAAAACAAAGAAGACAGGGGAAAAGTATAAGGTGTGGGAGAAGTAATTTCAACTTTATATTTGAGTGACTATACCATATCTTGACAAATATTTAGTATACCGAAGACTCAGAAAAAAAATTATAAACGTTTGTCCTGAATGTGGTCACTTGTAACAGAAACATGTCCTTTGTGGCTATTGCTGTGAGAACATGTGCAAGGAGACTGCAGAAATCAAAAGACAGGGAAACAAGAAGGGACCCTTTTAAGGCTCCTATTGTAGAGCCCATGGTGCTGTATATGGGAGAGACACCTCCTGAACAAGGTCAGGGCAAGAGACTCATGGAATAGAGATACATTATAAAAGTAGTTTGGGCTGGTTCTGGTGATCTCAGCCGATCTGTCTCCTGAGTCTGTTCAACTGTGGAGATCAATCAAGGCAGCAGGGTGAGCTAGATGGCTGGAGGGCCCCATTCATGTGTGTGTTGGTTGGTACTGTTAATGTTGGCTGTAGACAATAGATGTCACTGCAACAGATATATCTCATCAGATAGGAGGTTATTTCAGGCTTCCTCACATGGCAGGTGCAGAGTCTCAAACATCAGCAGGAGAGGGAAAGCTGGAATTTGCCAATGCTTTTCAAGTTTCTCCCTGAATTGTTTGCTCTTATTCCTTTTAGCCAAAATGAGTCGCATGACTCACCCAAACTCAGAGTGGGAGATAACTATCCAATGGTGTGGCTTCAGGAAGCAGAATTACTGCAACCACTTTTGAAACAATATGTGCTATGTATCAACAGCTATGTGGTGGAAAAACAAGGATTTGGGCTTTCTGACCTGAAATCCTCTCATCTCAGAGCCTTATTTTAATTTGTTCCTTCAAATAGGAGTCAGTAAAACAATAATCTTGACCACTAAAATCTTAAAAAATTGGGAATTTTCCCACCTTGGAAGGCACTGATCTACAGAACCTTGATTTCCTTTCACCATCCTGATGCTATCATCAAGCGCTATTGATGGAAGACCCTTTTCGGTGGTGTCCCATAAACACTCTATCGTGGTTCTGCCTTTTCTAAGATTGGGTTGGAGATAGAAGTATGATCAAGTGACTCAACCCAAATCACTCAGCACTAGCACCTGTACCAGAGCCTCCTGAATTAGAGTCCAGTGTTCATTTCCCAATTCATTCTGTATGAGTGTCTCTGTACAACTGAAAGAGCTACATAATCAGAAAGCAGTAAGAGCATTTTACAACATTATTATAAAATCATTACAACTACTCTTTTCTTATTATTTTTCATTGAGATCATTGATATGTAACATTATATTCGTTTCAGGTATACAACATGATGATTTGATATTTGTATATATTTCAAAATGACCATCAAAATAAATATAATTAACATTCAAATATGCAATATGGCAGTATTAATTAAAGCCACCATGCTGTGCATCATATCCTCATGATTCCTTTATTTTATAACTAGGAGTTTGTACCTTTTCACTCCTTCATCTACTTCACCCACCCCACACCCTCAGCCTCTGACAACCATCAATATGTTCTCTGTAGCTGTGAGTTCAGTTTTTTTTTTTTTTTTTCATTTAGATTCCACATGTAAGTGAGTTTATATGGTATTTGTCTTTCTTTGTCTGACATATTTTACTTAGCATAATGCTCTAAAGGTCTATCCATATTGTTACAAATGGCAAGATCTCCTTTTTTTTTTTAAGGCAGAATAATATTTTATATTTTATATATATGTTTATATATATACACACACACATATATATGTATATATGTATATCACATTTTCTTTTTTTTACGAGAGAGAGGAAGGAAGAGGGAGAGAGAAATAGAAACATCGATGAGAGAGAACATCAATTGACAAACCTCCAGCATTCTCCCCACTGGAGATTTGGCCCACAACCTGGGCATGTGCCCTGACCAGGAATCGAACCAGCGACCTCTTGGTGCATGGGTCAATGATCAACCACTGAGTCACGTGGTCCAGGCTATCTCACATTTTCTTCATCCATTTACCCACTGATGGACATTTAAGGTTGCTTTCATGTCTTGGGTATTATAAATAATACTTCAGTGAACATAGGGGAGCAGTTTTGAATTCTTAGATGTAACTTCAAACACAATCACTTGAGATTTTCCCAAGTCCATTTGGGAATAAAATTGCTAAGTAGCTATGAAGATAGAATAAGAGAAAGCAAAAGGCATGGTGGGAAGGCAGAAGATAGGTAGGTTTTCAGTCCTAAATAACACATTGTTTTCTTTTATCTCTTCTATAGTCATCTGCCATTTCCCTACGTTCTTTCTGTTATCACGTTTACTCTCTTTTTTTCTTGTGCTCTTTTTTCCATGTTATAGACTATGTCTCAGTTTTCATGCATAGTAAAATGTGTATGTATATACGTGTATATATGTATATATGGTCTGTATGTATATACCTCACACATACATATCTATATTTAATAGCCTTATCAAGACAATTGAAAGTTTCTTTTTTAATTATAATATGGTATTTCTTAGGTCCTAAGAATCTCATTGCAATACATGTCCTTTATTTCCTGAGTTGCAAGCATAGTTCTTAAATAAGGTAACTTACATTTTCTCATGATGGGTTGAGCGTGATGGTACATCTCCATTAATCCTGATTGTCTGCTTTTTAAAATGAAATACAAAATCAATCTAATTTTTCTATCTATAAAATTTCTTTACAGATAACTTTGATTACAGTTCCTGGATTTTTAATCAATTATACATTAATTCTTTGGTATCTGACATCTGTGAATAAATTACATTTGAAAACCACCCCAAGGTGGTTATTCTCAGCTATTCTTCTGAGTTCAGATCCCATGCTGACTTCAGCTGCTATAAGAGATCTTGGTAGGTATATATTTTTTCCTTTTCTATATTTAAAATATAATAGTATATATTTAACTTGTCTATTTTTAACATCTTTTGTTTACTGTAGCTTTTCACAATTTTCCCAACACATCTTTTCCTTTGAAAAACACTATATTCAGCTAATGCCCCTCCCCCAGCCCCCCAAAATTGCCTTTGGAGTCAGTGTCATTATTTGGACCAAAAGCCTGAAAAGTACAAAATAATAAAATCACTAGTCATACAATATTTCAGTGTGCACTATTTTAGGAGAAAAAAATATATATATTATAGGGTGTCCCCAAAAATATATACACACTTTGAATAATTATAAAGGAAGAGTTTGTTAAAATACATTTTATTTTCAAAATGTAATAGAATCTATAATTTTGTGTGTATACATTTTGGGGGGACACCCTGTATATATTTCAAAGTAAAATACCAAATCAACGTAACCTGTTGAAAATCTGAGCGCCTCATTAAAAGAAAAGAAAAAATCAATAACCTAATTTGTTTTCTACCAGTCACTTTTTAATAATGAGAACCAGAGTATTTGTTTTAAGAAATAATTTTTATGTGGCACACACATGCATGTGTGCATGCAGACACACACACATATAAACACACACTTTTTATTTTATGGCCAGTTAAAGGGGAAAGGACTGTCTGAGGCAGGTAGCAATGGAATAAGGGAGACACACCAAGTGCATTTATATGAGTAAAGGAAAGCCAAGTCTTCAAAATGCATTAAGATTATGAGACTTTAGAAAAAGGAAGCACCAGCATCTATCACCTAAGTCCGTCTCTATGGGATTCTGTCAGTGCCAACCACTTTTCTATTCAAAAGATTTGGGGGAGTTCTGTGCTACCTGAGAGCATTCCATACTTCTCTTAACTTTATAATTTGATCCTCTAGTTAGTGTTCCACTGGTTTCCTGGCCTGCCATTGTTGAATTTAAATAATTTCTTTGGGTTAATTTGCAAGGTGATTCCTATAAATTTTGTCCCTCTTACCATTACTTTTGGAACTTTGTTTTTCTCCTCACTTTGTATCTTTCTAAAAATAAAGTATTTTTCTCTTAGAAATGTGTTTGCCTGTTTTCAAAGCAAGATTTTTACATTTTTAAATTTTATTCTCAAAAAAAAGGAAAGAAAGAAAGAAGAAAATCTGCCTAGATCTATGAGTAGAGTACATGAGTACATTCACATTGTCTTGAACTTTTTCTGGTCTGTAATTTATTTCCAAATATTCACATTTGGTTATAGTTATATTTTCTAAAATAAAATAATTGTAAAACAGTATCATTTCTTTTTTCTGAGTAACAAACAACTCCAAAACCTAGTGGCTTAAAGCAACAATTATATATTTTTTCTCATGAATCTGGCAGTTCCGATTGTATAGGCTGGGCTCTGCTGATTTTGGCTAGGCTCACTATTAACTCTACAGTCAGCTGGAGGATCATCTGGACATTAAGTGATCTAGGGTGTCTTCAACTAGGAGGATCCATGGTTCTTCCAAGTATTTTTCACATTGCTCCAGAAGAGTAGGCAGGAAATGCTGCTGTGATGTTGACAGGAGTCCAAGAGAGAGGAAGCAGAAATCTTTATCAAGCCTCTGCTTATATCACATTTCATGACAAAACATACTGAATCTCTGTGGTGAGAGAAATTGTAAAGTCTGACAGCAAAGGGAATAGATGCAGGGATAGGTGAAGAAGTGAACCATCAAGGCAACTGAGCTTCCCAAGAACGGTCTGCCTTTCTTTTCTTCTCTTCCAACAGCACTCTTACTGCATCAGGTTATAATCAGAGCTATGGGGTGGTGGGTTCACAAGAACGGTTTTTACCACACAATAACGTTTCCTTCCTATGGGAATTTGGGAAATCATCAAAGTTATAGTTTTGCCACTATAGCACATTTAATACCACAGAAAAATAGTAATCGATGGCTATCTAAACTTATAATATCATCATAAATGAAGAAAAATTAGGATCATAATATATAATATCAGGATGTTCTCCATTAGCGCTTGATTTCTTTTCTCCTCCTCCTCCTTCATCTTGTGGCTTTGGAATCATTTTTATTTATTTTTAAAATTTGATTTATTTTTTAAATTTATCTTTATTGTACTACAAGTGTCCCTTCTTATCCCCTCTTTTTTCTCCCATTGACCCCTTCCACCCCACTCCCACTTCCCACCCAGGCTTTTACCGCACTATTGTCTGTGTCCATGGCTTATTTATATATGTACATAAGTGATTTATAAAACTATTAAAGGTAATGCATAGGAAAATCAGACAGTTTCTATTATAGTGAGAGTAATCTTTCACTTAGGTACAGCATTATAAAGCCTTGGTTTATGAAGTTACTTAATCTGTCATTGATTTTGATCTCGCTGTAAATACATGATGTATGTATGTATTTATATAGGCCAAATCACTGAATTATAAAAATAATGAATTTCATCTCCTTTGAAATAAGGAATGAGAGCTCTAGTTTATTATCTCAATTACATAAACAGTCATCAAGCACAGTTAATTTGGAATCTAACTATGATGGTCTAGTTAGTATATAATTAAATTTTCTTGAAGAGAGTTTTCAAACATGACTAAAGTTTATTTAAGTATGTAGAAAAAATGTGATATATAGCCATAGCTAAGAATATTCTTCTACTTGCTAATAAAATTTTTTTTTCACCTAAATATTTTTCCTCCCATAGGTCTATCTAGAGACCTCAGCAATTTAATTAATGGAGAAAGTCTGATGACCTCTATAATGTCTTTTAATATGTTTACTGCTATTGTAGATTTTAGCATCAACCGGAAAAAGTTTAACTATTCCATAGGTAAGGGTCTATATTTTTGTTTCATAATTTCTAAAAAGAATCTTATATATTTTGAAAACTGACATCAATTTTGTAGTATCTTATCACAAGATATACTTGTACAAAGAAATTGTGAGTATCAGTATAGTGATTTACTTTTTTAAAAGCACTATATGTGTTTACAAATACACCCCTTATTTAATATTAGTTATAATTTTGCTGTAAGGTGAGTTTCATGACAATGCTTATAAAAAGCAGCATTCTTCCACAGGCTTAGGCTGAACCACTATACTTGACAGTAAGAATGAAAGATGTTGATGTGTTGAAGATGAACTCAGAAGCCAGGTAGTGAGTGCACTCACCAGTGATGGGAAGAGGCTGCTTCCCTTCCTTTTCTCCTGGGACTAACTGTCAGCTCAGGGAGGAAGTGTGAGTTATATGGTCATCTACAGGGTCTAAAAGCAGTGTTTTTAAGCAGAGAAACTGCAAGGTGCCCATGAGCTCATTTATCACATTCAGAGAGCCCTGAACCATAAGTATATTTTTTCCTTTATAATATGTATGTGTAAAATAAATGATATATGTGTAATTATCACTCAGGACAAGAAATTCAGTGTGACCAGTACATCCAAAAGTATCTTCTATGCCTCTCTCTGATCAAAACCCCATACCGTTCTCCTAGAATAGTGGTTCTTGGAGTACAATGTCTGGGTTGGGGGGGGGGAGGGGTCCAAAGGACCCTTTAAGGGTGTCCATAAAATCAAATATTTTCATAATACTACTAAGAAATTATTTACCTTTTTTACTGTGTTACCATTTGCACTGATTTTGGAAAAACAATGGTTACAGTCTTCAAGAGAAAATTGTTGATGTATAGCTTATTCCACTTATTGGATGTCCTCTGTGTCCAAGGACTTCTGCAGCATTATCTCATTCCACCTCCTTATGACCTGAAAAAAGAGGATTTAGGAGGTGCTTCCAGATCATGTTCTAGTACATCAAGGGGTCAGTATGATGCCAAACAATAAATTATGTTGAAGTGGGATCCTTCTATCACCTTCTTCCCCAGCAATCAAGTATAACCCAAATTACCTTTCCAACCATTCAAGAGTAAGTTTTAGCCATAATTGTTTTCCCTGTCCCTGGAGAGTGCTTTATTGTTGGGCAGTCAGGGACCCTGTTTACTTCTATTTTGACTCATCATGCTGTACATATTCATAATCAACGCCTAAAACTCAGAATTGAAAACTTCTTTCCCAAGAAGACCCATTCAAGGACAGTATCCTCTCAATTCTTCTTCGAGGGAGCTGGTCCATATGGTGGACAATTATACTTGTTACTTGAGCACCAGAAGCACTCACATTTAGTTTTGCTCTGAATCCAGTTTAGTTTTCCCAGGCCATGGAAGCTTGGAACATATTTGATGTACCTAGAACCCCAATTTAGCACAGGAAGGCACATCCTCTTAAAATGCTTCATGTATGTTATCTGCTGTGTGTGAAAAAGCCAAACCACCACACACACATAACTTTTTCCAAAATTTAAGTAAAAAGGAAGGTGCCACAATGTAGCAATGCGGGGCTTTCACCATAAAACTTCCTGCACATAAGGCCTTCCTGAAAATGACTGAAGTGATCAGCAAAGAGAAATGTATATTCAGAAACATCATAAAAACTCAAGGACTACCCTTGGAGGAAAATGAAAAATGTAAAGAAATACAGTCTTGCATAGTAGTCAGAAGGATCCATGAACAGTTGGTAAATCTGGTCCAGTATTCCCCTGGGCTTCATTTAAGATAGTAAATATTGACCACAGAATTTCAGGGAACCATATCAGAGATGGCATCTATAGTCTAATCAAGAGAACTCTCTTGATATTCTATTCACTGGTACTGATTTGGAAGTTCATTCATTCATTAATCCAACAATTATTTATTGATTTGTACTATGTTATAGTTCTTATGTTTGACCATGGTGGGTGATTCAACCATGAACATAATAGTCCTTGCTTTTATAGAGCTTGTCTAATAATTTTGATAATAATCAATGGAATTCAATTTTCGTTTGTTTAGGTTTCAGAAAAGTAAGGGTTGTAAACAATCACCCTATTAAAATACAGTAGTGACAACTACAATGATAAAAGTTCTGGTGCAGTGAATAGTGAACTTATTTTCTTAGCCTTTGGGACTTTCTTTCCATTTTTAAAGTTCTGACAGAAATTTCCCCTTAAGAAGAAAGAAACTTAATAAGCTTTACTGATATGTCATTGTTATCTATTGGCACAATTGTGCATAAATAATTTTCACAGTAATTATTTGTATACTTTATTTGAATAGTTGCTTTATCTTTGACGATAGCGCATGTTTCATTAGAGGAAAAAATTAAGAAAAGTTATTGCACTCAGAATTCTTACCTTTTGCAACTTGAGTGTTAAAAGCTTAAGAACATTGTAAGAAATAATAGATTTGCTTTGAGGCTTTTGCTGGCCTAATAAATCCAGTCAGCAAACATTTTGCTGATTAAAAGCTACTTTCCTTTCTTAAAGGAGAAAGCAATTGTCACACTGGGTTTTCTAACACCAGTTCCCTGAATCCGTATGAAACCAGAGTCTCCTCCCTTGCTTCAGTTATAGGAGGTGCTGGATTCCCAAAATTATCAACATGGCTAAATCCATGCCCAGAACACATGAGACTTAGAGGGCCATTCATGAAACTCCCCTCCTATGTTCACATTATGCCTCCAGATTACAAATCTTTCTACTTGGCAAATGTAGAAACCAGGGCTCCCTTTCAGCCATGGGAATGCCGTTAGGTAAGAAGGAATCTAAATCGCCTTAGTACTCTTCACAGTGCTCCCCACCCCATGGACATTTATAGACAAGGGTTTATCAAAGGATTCTTTCTTTTCTCCTTCATTTTGCTAGCTCAGAGCACAGTTCTCAGATTTACCTCCAAAGTTAGCTTTGTTTTTCTGTCCTGGTTGCTGTTGCCATTTTCTGCTGGCTACTCTGTTTTGGTTTATGTTCTTGCTCTCCTTCTATTCTTTTGGAATTGACCCTTCAGGTTTTTCTGACCCCAGCACCCACTCTCATCTGTGATTCAAATTCTGTTCCTCTGTGATTCAAATTCAACCTACAAGGTGGGGAGGACTTTCTCATCGACTGGCATACCTAATTCCAGCAAAGGAGTATATCAAGAATTTAGGCTTCCTATTTGGGGGGGAAGGACAGCATAATGATTGTAGAAAGAGATTTGGCAAAATATAACAATATCAAAGATGTAACTATTCCTTAGTGCATAATTCCACTTCTGGGGCCTACGGAAGTATCAGAAAAGTACAAAAAAAATCATACAGAAGTATACATTGCAGCATTATTTATCGGGGAGAAAATTGGAAAACATGAACTGCCCAACAATAAGGAACCACTTGGTTGGCAGGCCAGGACAATACCGAAGATTCACTCTGCATTTCATCTGTGTCTCATGTTACATCTAGAATATAAGTGGCATGAATTTAGAGACTTTCTACCTTTTGTTCATTACTGTATCTCCAAAAGTTATAATACTGTTTGGCACTGAATAACTGTATATTCCTTAATGGGGACTGAAAGAAGTTCTTACATGAAACTGACTGCCTTTTTTCAACTTAAGTGTGGCTTTCAGAATTTGAGAAGAAAATTTAAATTTAAGAATATAAAAATACCCTACCTCCACCCTAAAGGATATGAATGAGCTCTTTTTAAAGATAATGAGAAACAGAAAATTTGACTAAGATCATCACTTAAAATTAAGTAAGTTCTATTAACTATTTTGTATTTTCTCCCTTCTTGCAGTACACAGCATCGTAGAGCCAACAATGACATATTATGTAGCAAGTTTCTTGTTTGGAATTCTAAGTTCAAAACTGGTTCAGTTGTGGATGTCTACTGATTTTGGTGATGATACCAATCATATAAGTCTCAGCCTTGCAATTCTGTACTTCTTCTATTTTATTTGTAAGTGAGGGGCCTATCCTTAAAATTAACTCACATAGAAAAATTGAAAATAAAGATATCAAAGATAAAAATTCACCATAAACATACCAAGCAAAAGTTAGTTTAAAACAGTTGAATGGACCTAGAAGAAATCTTTTCCTTAAAATAATCTATCAAAAGAAATAAAACTCCCCTGACTGTTTTGGTTCAGCCCTTAGAACATGTGCCAGCAAATGAATGAGCTGCAGGTTTGATTCCAATCAAGGGCACATACCTCAGCTGGAGTTCTCCCCAGGCCCTAGTCTGGGTCTTACAGAAGGCAACCAGCTGATGTGTCTCTCTCACATAGATCTTTCTTTTCATTTATTTATTTATTTTGTTTTTGTTACAACTATTTCTCCTTTTTCCCCATTTAAACCCTCCTGCCAATCCTGCCCACCCCCCAGAATTGTTCTCTATGTCCAGTTACGCATACATGCATATAACTTCTGTGACTTATCTCTTCCTCTCCCCCAAGCCCCTTCTTCTATGGTTTGTCAGTCTGTAATACCCTACTTCTATGTCTCTGGGTTTGTTTTGTTCTTCAGCTTGTTTTGTTCATGATATTCCACAAATAAGTGAGATCAATGTGATACGTATCTTTCTCTGATTGGCTTGTTTAATTTAGGATAATACTTTCCAGGTCCCTTCACGTTGTCTCAAAAAATAAGAGATCTTTCTTTCTTACAGCTGTATATGTACCAAAGTTTTTTTATCCATTTGTCTACTGATGGACACTTGGGCTGTTTCCAGATCGTAACAATTGTAAATAGTGCTACTATATAGGGGTACATATATTCTTTCTGATTGGTGTTGCAGGCTTCTTAGGGTATATTCCTAGAAGTAGGATCACGGGATCAAATGGGAGTTCAATTTTTAATTTTTTGAGGAAACACTATATTGTTTTCCAGAGTGGCTGCACCAGTCTGCCCTCCCACCAAGAGGGTACTAGAGTCCCCTTTTCTCCAAAACTGGCAGCCATTCTGGCAGATGTGAGGGGATACCTCATAATTGTTTTAATTTGCAAGTCTCTGATGATTAGTGACCTTGAGCATTTTTTAATATGTCTCTTGGTCCTTTGTGTGTCCTGTTTGGAGAGGTGTCTATTTAGGTCCTCTGCCCCTAAACTTGGATTCTTTGTCTTCCTTTTGTTGGCTTGTATGTGTACTTTATATATTTTGGAAACTAACCCTGTATCTGATGTATTGTTGGCAATTATGCTCTCCCATATAGTGGGTTCCCTTTCCATTTTGATGGTTGTTTCTTTTGCTGTGCAGAAGTTTTTGAGTTTGATGTAGTCCCATGTGTTCATTGTTTCCTTTGTTTTTCTTGCCTTAGGTGTTGTATCAGTGAAAATTCTGTTGCGTATGATGTCTGAAATTTTGTTGCCTACATTTTCTTCTAGAATTTTTATGGATTCACCATAAAGTCTTTTGTCCATTTTGAATTTATTCTTATTTATGGTATAATTTTGTGGTCTAGCTTCATTTTTTTACATGTAGCTGTTCAATTTTCTCAACACCATTTATTGGAGAGCCTGTCTTTACTCTACTGTATACTTTTGCCACTTTTGTCAAATAATTATTGAGCATAATGACTTGGGTCAATTTCTGTGTTCTGTGTTCTATTCCATTGATCTATATGCCTATTCTTGTGCCATTGCTACGCTGTTTTGATTACAATGGCTTTGTAGTATAACCTGATAACTGGTATTCTGACCCCTCTTACCTTGTTCTTCTTTTTCAAGATTGCTGTAGCTATTCGAGGTCTTTTTTGGTTCCATATGAACTTTTGGAGTATTTGTTCTAGTTCTGTGAAGTATGTTGTTGGTATTTTGATGGGGATAGCATTGAATCTATAGATTGCTTTGGGTAATATAGACATTTTAATGATGTTAATTCTTCCAATCCATAAACAAGGTATATGCTTCCACTTTTTTATATCTTCCTCTATTTCTTTTTTCAGTGTCCTGTAGTTTTCTGTGAATAGGTCCTCTACTTCTTTAGTTAAGTTTATTCCTAGGTATCTTAATTTTTTTGCTGGAATGGTAAATGGGATTTTTTAGTGTCTCCTTCCATGAGTTAGTTGTTGGTATATAAGAATGCCATCAATTTCTTGAAATTAATTTTGTATCCTGCTACTTTGCCAAATTCACTTATTAAACCTAGTAAATATTTGATGGAATCTTTAGGGTTTTCTATGTACAGTATTGTGTCATCTGCAAATAATGACAATTTCACTTCCTCCTTTCCAATGTGAATCCCTTTTATGTTTTCTTCACGTGTAATTGCTGTAGCTAAGACTTCTAGTACTGTGTTAAGTAAGGGTGTTGAAAGTGGGCAACCCTGTCTTGTTCCTGTTCTTAAGGGAAATGCTTGTAATTTTTACCCATTGAGTATATTAGCTGTAGGTTTTTCATATGTGGCCTTTATTATGTCAAGATATGACCCCTCTAGTCCTACATTGCTGAGTGTTTTTATCAGAAATGGGTGCTGGATTTTGTCAATAGCCTTTTCAGCATCTATTGATATGATCATATGATTTTTATCTTTCATTTTGTTTATGTGGTGTATCACATTTATTGATTTGCGAATATTGTACCATCATCCATTCCTGGGATGAATTCCACTTGGTCATGATGAATAATTTTTTTTGATGGATTGTTGGATCCAACTTGCTAATATTTTGTTAAGGATTTTGGCATTTGTATATTTATCAGAGATACTGACATATAGTTTTCTTTCTTTTTAGTGTCTTTATTTGGTTTTGGAATTAGTATCATGCTGGCCTCATAAAATGAATTTGGAAATCTTCTGTCTTCTTGAATTTTTTGGAATAGTCTGAGGAGAATGGGTGTTAAATCTGCTTTGAATGTTTGGTAAAACTCCCCGGTGAAGCTGTGGGCCTGGGCTTTTGTTTGCTGGGAGTTTCTTGATTGCATCTTCAATTTCCTTTGTTGTTATCGGTCTGTTCAAGTTTTCTGTCTCTTCCTGGTTCAGTTTTGGAAGACTGTGTGTTTCTAGAAATTTGTCCATTTTGCCTAGATTGTCCAATTTGTTGGCATATAATTATTCATAGTACGTTTTGATGATCCTTTGTATTTCTGTAGTGTTGGTTGTTACTTCTCCTCTTTCATTTCTGATTTGCTTATTTGAGTCCTCTCTTTTTGTTTCTTGGTGAGTCTGGCTAAGGGTCCATCAATCTTGTTTATTTTTTCAAAGAATCAGCTCTTTGTTTCATTGATCTTTTTAATTGATTTCTAGTTTGTATGTCATTTATTTCTGCTCTGACCTTGACTATTTCTTTCCTTCTGCTTGCTCTGGGTTTTCTTTTTGTTTATTTTCTAGTCCTTAAGTTGTAGGGTTAGAAATTCAATTAGAAATTTTTCTTGTTTCTTGAGGTAGGCCTGTAGTGCTCTCAGCACTGTTTTTGCTGCTTCCCATAGATATTGTGTTGTTATGTGTGAACTTTCATTGGTTTTCAGGAAGTTTTTAATTTTTACCTTGATCTCCTTAGTAACCCATTAGTTGTTTAATAACATGCTATTTACCTTCCATGTTTTTTAATGTTTTTGTAGTAATTAGGTTCTAGTTTCATGCCATTGTGATCTGAGAAGATGCTTGATATGATTTCAATCTTCTTGAATTTGTAGAGATTTCTTTGTGTCCTAATATGTAGTCTGTCTTTGAGAATGTCTTGTGTGCACTTGAGAATAATGTATATTCTGCAGCTTTGGGGTAAAATGTTCTGTAAATATCAATTAAGTCCAACTGCCCTAGTTAGTCATTTAAGGACTGTTTCCGTGTTAATTTTTTGTCTAGATGATCAATCCAGTGTTGCAATGGGGTGTTAAAGTCACCCACTGTGATTGTATTTCTATTGATCTTTCCCTTGAAGTCCTCCAGAAGTTTTAAATATATTTTGGTGCTCATATATTTGGTGCATATATGTTTACCAGGGTTATATCCTCTTGTGGGGTTGATCATTTTAATGTTATATAGTGACCTTCTATTTTTCTTATTATGACCCTGGTTTTTTTAATCTTTTTACTTACTTAGTTATTTATTTATTTGATTATTTATTCATTCATTTATTTATTTATTTTTGTTACAGATGTTTCTCCTTTCCCCCCCATTGGCACACTCTTCCCCCTCCCTCCCCGCCCTGTCCCCAGCTTTGTTGTCCATGTCCATTGGTCATGCATACATACATATAAGTTCTGTGGTTTATCTCTCCCCGCAACCTCTCTTCTGGGGATTGTCAGTCTGTACCCTACTTCCATGTCTCTGGGACTACCCTGTTCTTTAGATTGTTATGTTCATTATATTCCACAAATAGGTGAGATCATATAATACTTGTCTATCTCTGTTTGGCTTGTTTTGCTTAGGATAATACTTTCCAGGTCCCTCCATGTCGTCTCAAAGGATAAGAGATCTTTCTTTCTTACAGCTGCATAGTACTCCATTGTGTATGTGTACCACTGCTTTTTTATCCATTTGTCCACTGATAGAAATTTGGGCTGTTTCTAGATCTTAGCTATTGTAAATAATGCTGCTATGAACATGAAGGTACATATATTCTTTCTGATTGTTGTTTCAGGCTACTTAGGGTATATTTCTAGAATGGGATCACTGGGTCAAATGGCAATTCAATTTTTAATTTTTGTATTTTTTGAGGTAACACCATATTGTTTTCCATAGCAGCTGCACCAGTCTGCATTTTCACCAGCAGTGCACTAGAGTCCCCTTTCCTTCATACCCTCTCCAACACTTGTTTGATGATTTGTTGATGTGTGAGGTGATACCTTGTTGTTTTAATTGCATCTCTCTGATGATTAGTGATGTTGATCATTTTTTCATATGTCTCTTAACAATTTGTATGTCCTGTTTGGAGAGGTGTCTATTTAGTTCCTCTGCCCATTTTCTAGTTGGGTTCTTTGTCTTCCTTTTGTTGAGCTGTATGAGCACTCTATATATTTTTTA